GGGTGGGGGAGGGGGAGGTCCCCCAAGGGGTGGGGGGGGTGGGGTGGCACCCCAGGGTCACCCGAAGGTGGGGTGGTGGGTCTACAAAGGGTGGTGGATGCTCAAAACCACGTCAGATCCTTATGGGAACCCCCTAAAATGGTGATGGAACCCCAAAACCACGTCAGATCCTGATGGGAACCCCCCAAAATGGTGATGGAACCTCAAAACCACGTCAGATCCTTACGGGAACCCCCCAGGAACCCCTCAAAATGGTGATGGAACCTCAAAACCACGTCAGATCCTTACGGGAACCCCCCAGGAACCCCTCAAAATGGTGATGGAACCCCAAAACCACGTCAGATCCTTACGAGACCCCTCAGGAACCTCTGAAAATGGTGATAGAACCCCAAAACCACATCAAACCGATATAGAACTCCTCAGGAACCCCTCAAAATGGTGATGGAACCCCAAAACCACGTCAGATCCTTACGAGACCCCTCAGGAACCTCTGAAAATGGTGATAGAACCCCAAAACCACATCAAACCGATATAGAACTCCTCAGGAACCCCTCAAAATGGTGATGGAACCCCAAAACCACGTCAGATCCTTACGAGACCCCTCAGGAACCTCTGAAAATGGTGATAGAACCCCAAAACCACATCAAACCGATATAGAACTCCTCAGGAACCCCTCAAAATGGTGATGGAACCCCAAAACCACGTCAGATCCTTACAAGACCCCCCAGGAACCTCTGAAAATGGTGATGGAACCCCAAAACCACGTCAGATCCTTATGGGACCACCCAGGAACCTCTGAAAATGGTGATGGAAACCCAAAACCACGTCAGATCCTTACGGGAACCCCCCAGGAACCCCTCAAAATGGTGATGGAACCCCAAAACCACGTCAGATCCTTACGGGACCACCCAGCAACCCCTCAAAATGGTGATGGAACCCCAAAACCACGTCCAACTGATACAGAACCCCCATAAGAACCCCTCAAAATGGTGATGGAACCCCAAAACCACGTCAGCTGGTGTCCCCTCCTCCTCACCATGGCGGTGATCTCGTCGAAGGACTGGAGGAACTCCACGATCTTGGACTTGTGGGTGGGCTCCACCCGGGCGAAGCAGCAGGCCCGGCGACAGGCCTCCCTCTGCTCGGCTGGGGGGAGGTCGTCGAACTCCCGGCCCGTGTAGGCCTTCCCCGTCACCTCCTCCTCCTCCCCGAAGATGCCGATGCGGCGGCAGATGGCGATGGCCGTCCCTTTGTTGTCCCCCGTGATCATGATGACCCGGATGCCGGCGTCGCGGCAGAGGCGGATGGAGCCCATCACCTCTTTGCGGGGAGGGTCCAGCATCCCCACGCAGCCCACGAAGGTCAGGTCCATCTGTGGGGCGGGGTGGGGACACCAAGGAAGAGACGTCAGATACCCAAAAAGACCAAAAACACCCCGAAAAAGGGCAATACGGGGCCAAGAACCACCCAAAATGGAGTGAGAAAACCTTGTAGGACCTAGAACCCACCAGAGAAGGTTCTAGATGGCATCAAGGGAGGTCCAAAAGGGACCATTGGACACCCAGAAGGACCAAAAATGTCCAAAAAAAGGTCAATATGGGGCCAAGAACCATCCAAAATGGGGTGAGACCCCCTTGTAGGACCTAGAACCCACCAGAGAAGGTTCTAGATGGGACCGAAGAACCTACAGGGGACAAGGGACACCAAGGAGGGGACATCAGACACCCAAAAAGACCAAAAAGTCCCCCAAAAGAGGTCAATATGGGGCTGAGCACCATCCAAAATGGGGTGAGACACCCTTGTAGGACCTAGAACCCACCAGAGAAGGTTCTAGATGGCATCAAGGGAGGTCCAAAAGGGACAAGGGACACCCAGAAGGACCAAAAATGTCCCAAAAAAGGTCAATATGGGGCCAAGAACCATCCAAAATGGGGTGAGACCCCCTTGTAGGACCTAGAACCCACCAGAGAAGGTTCTAGATGGGACCGAAGGACCTCCAGGGGACCAGGGACACCAAGGAGGGGACATCGGACACCCAAAAAGACCAAAAACGCCCCCAAAAAAGGCCAATACGGGGCCAAGAACCATCCAAAATGGGGTGAGACCCCCTTGTAGGACCTAGAACCCACCAGAGAAGGTTCTAGATGGGACCAAAGGACCTCCAGGGGACAAGGGACACCAAGGAGGGGACATCAGACACCCTTGAAGGCTCAAGAACCCCCCCAAGAACGTAGTTATGGGGCCACGTGGACCCAAGAACCCCCCCGAGATGACCTCATACCCCATTGAAGGCCCAAGAACCTCCCCAAGAACGTGGTTATGGGGCCACGAGGACCCAAGAACCCCCCCAAGAACGTGGTTATGGGGCCACGTGGACCCAAGAACCCCCCCGAGATGACCTCATGGACCTTTAACGCCCCCATGCCCCCCCAAGAGGACCCCCCCACATCACCCAGAAGATCACCTCGTACTCGGCGAACTTGGAGGAGTCCTCCAGGACCATGTCCTCCTTCTTGGGGGGGGTGTCGCGGGTGGCCAAGGCCAAGCAGCGCAAGGTGTCCCTCCCCGTGCCCCACTCCTTGATGACGGTCAAGATCTTCTCCTTGACGGATGGGGTCAAGGGGACTCTGGTTGTCCCCACCCGGACGTAGTTACAACGGTCGATGACACCCTCGGGGGCACCCTACGGGGGAGGAGACAACGGGGTGAGGAGGTGGGTCCCATGGGGTGAGGTGGTGGCCCCATGGAGCGAGGAGGTGGCCCCATGGGGTGAGAAGGTGGTCCCATGGGATGAGAAGGTGGATCCATGGAGCAAGGTGGCCCCATGGAGCGAGGAGGTGGCCCCATGGGATGAGGAGGTGGATCCATGGGGTGAGGAGGTGGATCCATGGAGCAAGGTGGCCCCATGGAACGAGGAGGTGGCCCCATGGGGTGAGGAGGTGGATCCATGGGGTGAGAAGGTGGATCCATGGGGTGAGAAGGTGGTCCCATAGGGCGAGGAGGTGGCCCCATGGGATGAGGAGGTGGATCCATGGGGTGAGGGGACCTTGGAGGACCTTGGAGACATGAGGAGGACCTTGGGGACACTTGGAGGACCTTGGAGGACCTTGGGGACACTTGGAGGACCTTGGGGACAGGGGGAGGACCTTGGTGGACCTTGGGGACATGAGGAGGACCTTGGGGACACGGGGAGAACTTTGGAGGACCTTGGATGACCTTGGAGGACCTTGGGGACACTTGGAGGACCTAGGAAGACCTTGGGGACATGAGGAGGACCTTGGGGACACGAGGAGGACCTTGGATGACCTTGGAGGACCTTGGGGACACTTGGAGGACCTAGGAAGACCTTGGGGACACGAGGAGGACCTTGGGGACACTTGGAGGACCTTGGGGACAATTAGAAGACCTTGGAAGACCTTGGGGAAAGGGGGAGGACCTTGGGGACACGAGGAGGACCTTGGGGACACTTGGAGGACCTTGGAGGACCTTGAGGACACGGGGAGGACCTTGGGGACACTTGGAGGACCTTGGAGGACCTTGGAGGACCTTGGGGACACGAGGAGGACCTTGGAGGACCTTGGGGACATGAGGAGGACCTTGGGGACACTTGGAGGACCTTGGGGACAAGGGGAGGACCTTGGGGACACTTGGAGGACCTTGGAGGACCTTGGGGACATGGGGAGGACCTTGGGGACACTTGGAGGACCTTGGAGGACCTTGAGGACACGGGGACAATGAGGACACGAGGAGGACAATGGGGTCAACGGGACCCATGGGGACATGAGGAGGACCTTGGGGACACTTGGAGGACCTTGGAGGACCTTGGGGACACGGGGACAATGAGGACATGAGGAGGACAACGGGGTCAATGAGACGTTGGTGGCCATGGGGACATCACAGAGAAGGTGGGAATGGAACCTCCTGGAGATGGGGCCACCAAGTTATGGAGGAGACAGGGCCAAGGGGGGACCAAAGGAGGTGACACGAGGGGACAGGAGGGGACAGGAGGTGACAACGGTGACACCAGGAGGTCCATGGGGTCAACGGGACGTCGGTGGCCACGGGGTCATCAAGGAGAAGGTGGGAACGGAACCTCCTGGAGATGGGGCCACCAAGGTATGGAGGAGGTGGGGCCAAGGGGGGACCACAGGAGGTGACAGGAGGTGACACGAGGGGACAGGAGGGGACAGGAGGTGACAACAGGTGACACCAGGAGGTCCATGGGGTCAACGAGACGTTGGTGGCCACGGGGACATCAAGGAGAAGGTGGGAACGGAACCTCCTGGAGATGGAGCCACCAAGGTATGGAGGAGGCGTGGCCAAAGGGGGAGCAAAGGAGGGGACAGGAGGTGACACGAGGGGACAGGAGGGGACAGGAGGGGACAGGAGGGGACACCAGGAGGACCATGGGTCAACAGGACGTTGGTGGCCATCAAAGAGAAGGTGGGAATGGAACCTCCTGGAGATGAGGCCACCAAGGTATGGAGGAGGTGTGGCCAAAGAGGGACCAAAGGAGAGGACAGGAGGTGACAGGAGGGGACAGGAGGTGACAACAGTGACACCAGGAGGTCCATGGGGTCAACAGGACGTTGGTGGCCATCAAAGAGAAGGTGGGAACGGAACCTCCTGGAGATGGGGCCACCAAGGTATGGAGGAGGCGGGGCCAAGGGGGGAGCAAAGGAGGGGACAGGAGGTGACACGAGGGGACAGGAGGGGACACGAGGGGACAGGAGGGGACAGGAGGTGACACCTACGGAGTTGCAGGCGTTGGCCCTCTCCACCTTGGAGAGGTTGCGGACGTCGGTGTTGAAGACGTTCATCTTCTCCACCAGGCAGGTCAAGGCCGTCTCGGTGGCTTCCCCCACCTTCTCGTAGACGCCCTTGGACTGGTGGTGGGTGGAGGGGACAAAGGTTGGGTGGTGTCACCAAGGTT